CAGCGTGAGGACCGAACACAAAGACAACAAGGAAGGAAAGAGAGGCCGCGCGGAAACGAAGAGGAAAAGCAGCAGGTGGCGGTGGGGAGAGGCAGAGAGAGAGGTGCACACCCCACCCCCGCCAGGCGCGCCGAGCAGCGGCATGGCAACGATGTTCTCTCCCTCCGTCCCCCTGGATCTTGCCTTCCAGACCGGCAATCCATCAGGCGGGCGGGGAGCTGCGGAGAGTTAATCCGCCGCCGTAATCGGACCCCGCGGGCTGTGGGGGTGTTCTCCCTGCACGCCCCTCGCGGCTCCCCGCGGCTCCTTAAGGCGGTCGAACAAAACGGGAGCGACTCCGGGGGCTCGCCAGCGAGCGCTCGGCACAAGGCTGCTCGTCCTGGGCCTCCGTGTGCCCCCGGCGCTTTGCCTGCATCGGCACCGTGACGGATGGCTTGTCTGGGAGGCACTAAGGAACCTTAACAACCAGGTTCTATAAAGTTACATAACTTTTCACTGTGTGCCAATACACGATGCTCAACGAATAAACTTCTGTCAGGCCCCCTGGAGCAGCTTTTGAAGCTCTCCGAGATCCTGATACATAAAATGTTCCTGTTTAATAAATAAGAACGGGAAAACAGCCCCTGAACCCTGGAAGGCGGCACTCTGCGGCCTACAGGATCCGGGGTCAGCATGTGGCCTCTGTGACCCGGGGGGGCAGGGGAGGGGGAGCGGAGGCAAGGCTGGGGCACCCGTGACCGTTCCCTACCTTGGGGCCGCTGGACTGGACCAGCAGGCTGCCCCGGCCCTAGCCTGACACTGGGCCCCAGGCCTCTCCCGGGGCCGCCTGCCCGCTGGGGGTCAGGAAGCAGGTAGGCAGAGCTGAGGTCGCAGCCCAGGCCTGCAGGCAGGGAGGGGTCGGGGCTCCTGTCTGGAGCGCAGCCCCACGGCTGAGGGACGGGAGAAAGGGCTTCGGGGACCCTGCGTGCCCGTTACGAGCTGCCCTGCGGGGGACAGTCTGGACCCAGAGGTCCGTCCCCCAAACCGGTCAGGCTGGAGATGGAAGGAGGGTCTGGCCAGGCCTCTCAGGCCGCCACAGAGCAGATGCTCCCTATGAAGACCGTGAACCCACCGGCACCCTCACGTGCCCGCCCTCCGTCGACGGGACGCCTGGGTCTGCAGGGCTCGGCTCCACGGAAGCGTGTCGGGGCCAAACGCAGGTCAGGCCGGCATCTGGGTTTCGGTGCCTCACCTTAAAGTAAGGCTCTGTCCCTGCCTTCGGGCACGTCCATGAGGCTCCCAGACCCGGGAGCGGACAGAAAACTAAACAGAGCAGACCCCGACTCACGTCCACCACCACCACCCACAGGGCCCAGCACGGGAGCACCGTGCCCTTCTCTCCCGACCCCACCAGCTCCCGAGGGACCTGTTTGCTAGCTTGCAGGGGGACCGCGTCTGCAGCCTGAGCCGGGACCCTCGCCGTGCCTGACCCAAGCACGGGGAAATGCCCCCGGGCGCTCTCCCTCCTCCCCCTGCTCTGCAGAGAGAGTCACCACCCACGGGGCCAGGGGACAGGACAGGACAACACCTGTCAGGAGATGGACGTTGGTCACAGAAGGTGACAGCAGGAGAGGCAGAGATGGCCCTGGGTCCCCGGTCTGGCTCCAGCTGCCACACGGTGCCCACCCCCTGTTCCTGCTGGTGTCGCCGATGGCAGGCATGACGTCCACGTCATCTGGGAGCTTGCCCCAAGACTTTCCTGAACCCAAGACCCCCCTCCCCCCCAAAGCCCCTCCTTGTGTTGCTATGGGCTTATTACTTCCTAAAGCTGGGCCCCCTTCTCCCTAACCCAGACCTCCTCCTGGGTGACAAGCGGGTCAGGGGTGCCTCTCACGGGGGAACCGGGGCGGTCTTGGTGCCACGGCAGAGCCTGCGTGAGAACGGTCGCTAGTTGCAAGGCGGCCACTGAGTGAGCCTGGTCTCCGTGCCACCGACGGGCTGCACGGAAGGAGCAGGGGAACGCGGTATCTGGCGCATCTCCGCCTCTTCCCTTCTACGCGAGACCCCCTAAAGAGCCACCACCCTCCTCCAAGCGCACAAAGTGCCACTGGCTGCGTGTGCGCCTCTCTGCGCACGTGCGTGGCAGGGACCCCTGCGGTCCCGGCAAGCAGCCGGGCTTGCCCCTGCTCCGGCCGCCAGAGCACCGCGTCCCACCCCACACCCTGATCAGACGGCGTGGGCCTCTCTGCGGGGGTGACACACGTCACCGCAAGTGGGCGAGACAGGGCTCCCCCACCGGCTCCCTCGCACCGCGTGATGGGTCCCGGTCCCACGGCCAACTCGAGAGCAGGGGTCCCTCGGTGCCAGCAGCAGCTGGCACGGGACTGAACTCGTCGGACACCGGGTCCCCCGGCAGAAGGAGCTCTGAGACTTGGCACGTGGCGGGCATCGCCACCCCACCCTGCCCCAGACCCCCGTCCTCACCCCTGCCCCGCACCCTCCCGTGACATGTGCCAGGCAGCCACCTCGGCCTCCCGGGGAGGAGGGGGAGGACACCCTCCTCTTCTCCCGGCACAGGTTCTGAGAGAGGCCAGAGGGAGGCCAGGGGAGTCTCGGCGATGAGAGAAGGAGCCAGGGCTGGGGAGCCCCCACACCCCCCTGCCCCACCGCACGCCTGAACGGAGCAGGACCTGGGGTTTCGTCTGCTGCCACCCGCTGGGGGCCAGGAGGCACACAGCTCTCCACAGGGGACCCGGGCCTCTGAGAAGGGCCGGACAGGGTCCAGGCCCGACCCCCAGGGTGCACTGACCCAACCACTGCCTGCGCTCCCCAAAGGGGGCCGGCTGCCAATCGCGGGCACCTGAAGGCAGCGAGCTTCCCTCCACCTGCCTGTTGATGTTCCAGAACAGCCAGGGACAGGGAGCGGGGAGCCTGGCCGCGGAACGCCTGGCGGCCAGCCCCCCTGTGCCCGCTCCTCCCTGCAGGCAGCCGCTCGGGCCCCGGTGAGCCCTCATGGAGGTTACCAGAGCCGGGGAGACAGACCGCGTGCAGGCCCGGAAAGGTGAGACGGGTTAACCGTGCCGGCCCGTAGGTTCTCAAGTCACCCCCATCACCCCATCACCCCAAACACGGCCCTGGAGGTGCCGGAACCGCGGGCCTCGTACTCAGTGAGGAGGGTGCACACGGCACACGGACAAGAGGGAGCTCTCACGTAAAACACGCCAGGGAGGACCGAAGGGGTCAGAGAGCCTTCCCCACAAATCTCTCCTCGGTAAGGTTTCACATGGCACCAGGTGTGCCGTAAGGAGATGACTATTAACACGCCGATACTTACGGCGACTCGCTGGGTGCGGCAGGAACAGCCATTCGAACCACCACTGAAGGTCTGCACGCGACAGCACCGCCACGGCCCCTTGGCGGCCCCCCTCCCCCGGCCACCAGTCGGGGCGCGGAGCCCGCACGCGCCGGGCCCGCCCGCACACTCACCTCCATCTCAGAGCTGTGCGCGTGCACCTTCTGGACCATATCCTCGGCCTCACGCATCCGACGGGTCAGCTGGGGCGAGTACTCGGCCGCGGTCAGCTCGCTGTCATAGGACCCCAGGATGGCACGCATGCCGTCTCGCTCCTGTCGGCACACATAGCAGGCAGTCAGGCCGGGGACGGTGACGGGACGCCGGAGGAACACGCACGACGTGACAGCAGATGCCACACGGAGGCAGCAGGAGGGTGGGCAGGCTGTCGGGCTGGAGGGTGGGGGGGCTCATGTGGCTTCTCAAAGGGCTGAGGGGCGTTTGGATCCTCACAGAGCCCCGTGAGGCCAAGATGGGGCCTGAGCGGCTCTGAACCAGTAGCCCGAGCACAGGCCAAGGCCGGGCTGGACCGGGGTGCTCCCCACGACCGCCCGGCCTCGAGCTGAAGGGTCTGTGGAGGCCTGTGGTGGCCAGAGACCCCTCCCCAGGCCTGCTGACTGCCCCAGCTGCGCAGAGGCCCTCTATCCCATCCCGCCAGCCCCGGGGGCCGCCAAACTCCAGACACGGTCCCAGGAACACAGCGGCGGCGGGACCAGGCCAGGCCGTGGGTTTGAATGCCCCACCGCCTGTGACTCCTGACCTGGCCTCTGGGCAAGGCTGCACGCAGCAGTCGGGAGAGAGGACAGATCCATCCAAGCAGCAGGCGACCGGGTGGGAGCAAGAAGCGGGATGCACGTTCCTTCCACCCAGACGCGAACCGCCCCTGACTCCCCACTCGTTAGCTCTGGCCTTAGCAAGCTCCCTGTCTCCCCACACAGCTCCCAGGATGCCTGGGGCCCCAATCTCAGGCCACAGATGTGTCACTGGGCACCAGCCAGGCCCGGCACCCTTTCTCCGTCTCCTGCACAAAGGGAGAGCCCCCTGCAAAGACGCACCAGGTTTTGGGGAAGGATGTACCGATGCCACTGCATCAGGACCAAGCTCCGCAGAGAAGCCACCGCTCAGGGGTGTCCTGCCAGAAACGCTTAAGGCTGAGTGTGAACCAGAGTCAGGGGCCCTGGGAGGCATGGGCGGCTTCTCCTGCCCAGGACTGGAAGATTCCTTCCTCAGATGTTCGTGTGGGGAGACAACCTTCTGGAGGCCAGCCAGGGAAGGTCGCAGAGACCTGAGGTGTCCCTAGGTCCAGCAGCCGAGCGGCTCTGGAGGGTCTGCACAGAGGGCACCCGTACCCAGAAAGGAGCCTCTGTCTCCCCTGTGGGCTGCCCACCATCCGTTCTCGTGCCCTGTGAACCTGGATTCTTCCTCGGCCCTAACACAGGCCTGAGCTGGGGCTGGCACCTGCTCTCCCGCCCCACATTCTGCAGGCTGCTGTCACCTGGGAAGCCCGCAGGGAGAAAATCCCATCACCCCGCAGACGCCCAGGTGTACTGGCGCACGCGTCTCAGAGCTTCACGTGGGCCAGTGTCCCGGGGGTCAGCTCCGTAGTCTGGGCTGGGGCCTGAGGGTCCATATCGCACTCAGGCGCCCAGAGATGCTGCTGCTGTGGGACACGGAGCTCCGGGGCTCTGCCTGGGGCAGCACAGCCCAGGAAGGAAGGGTGGGCTGTGCACGGGCCAGGTCTGGCCCGACTCTGCTCCAGCCGGGGCCCCGAGGCCAGAGCACTCATCCCCGGCATCAGTTCCCAGATTAGTGGGTTAATCCCCGCTCACACACGGCAGACCCGAGGGCTGACGCCATCACGGATGCAGCGTCCACGCACTGCCCCGTGAAGGAGGCCCAGTGGCCTCATCCGTGTCGGCAAACACACCTCCACGGGTTCACGGCGCACCCGCTCCGGCCCCGGCACTGCCTGGCTCTGCGCCGGCCCGGCTCCCGGCCGCTGTCCCATCAGGGCAGGGCGACCAGGCGCACCACAGGGACAGTCCGCACAGGCACCTTCACGGCCCCGAAACAGCCCCCCACTCAACGTCCTCTGGGTTGGAGAGGCCCCTTCTTCTCGGGTGGGACCGGAGGAAGGCACAGGGCTCGCGAGCCTCAGACTCGGTCTTCGCCCTGCCGCGACTGCACAATTAGCTGATGACAAGAAATTCACTGAGAAATTAAAGTTACAAATCCAACTGGAACTGGTCGCACGTCCGTGGGAAATTTGTTTCCACAGGAAGGTTTATCGAGTGTCACAATTTTATTGAAATCCTTTATCTTCGTATTGACTTTTATGGCTCGAGCTGGTTACCGGAGTCGTCCCTACCAGAGTGCGGGCGCCCCGGGGGGCCCGGGTGGGGGGACTTGCCTTCCTGAGCAAGCTGTGATCGTCTCCCTGATTGACCAATAAATCCCCACAACCCGCCTTCCAGCACGGCACTCTTCATCGGGTCTGCGGGCGCCTCGGCCGGCGAGGAGGAAAACGTCTGGGAGCAAGTTCGTCGTTCGTTCCCGTTAAAGACGTCGCTTTGTCATTACTAGGAAAAGCAAAAGACCAAGTGTGCTGGTTTTATTTGATAATGACTTTTTAATGACCAATTCCGCTTGTGGTAAAGTTTGCTTTGTTTCCACTTGAGCAAATGCCGATGATTAATCTCTGAACAAACAGGCATCCGGTCCGCGAGGAGGCCTCAGAGACTCGCCCGAAGAAGTAGAAGGGGACACTTGCCGCCGGGCGCAGAGCAGTCCCGTGTGACTTTGAGCATGCCTGCTGGTCACAGAGTCATTGGCAGCTCCACGCGTGTTTGAGGGCAGGGTCGGTCGCCCACGCGCAGATGAACCCCAGGCCCCGCCCCGCCCTCGCCACCCCAGCCGTCTGGGAAGGAGCGCGCTGGCCCGGCAGCCTCGCGTGTGGGTAACAGTCACCAGCCCTCCTGCCCCCGGGCCTCCAGGACACGGAGCCTCCCTCCCCGCCAAGGGCT